GGGTCAGACTTCTGGAAATCCTTCCATAATAGCATTGTGGGTCTACTTACAGAATGTGGACTGCAGCTGTTCAAGAAGGCAGCTCACCACAATCTTCTCAAGGGCAACTAAGGATGCGCAACAAATGCTGGCCAGCCAACAATGTCCATGTCCTACAAGTGAGTGAATGAAAAAAAACAGTTGGCCAGTACTGTGCACAGTATTCTAAATACCCAAGTCTCACCAGTGCCCTTTTGTGGCCCACTACAATAGGAATTAGACATCATTATCCTTCTGTTCTTTCAAGGAGAAAGTACTTGCTGGCTTCAGAGAAGAACCACAGAATCCCTGCAGTGCAGAAAGCCTTATTTGGCCCATCGAGTCTGCACTGATGCTCCAAACAGCATTCCACCCTGCCCCCATGACCCCGCATTTCCCAAGTCTAATCCACACAGCGTGCACATCCCTGAAAACTATGGGCAATTTAGTATCGCCAATCCACCTAACCTGCATGCCTTTGGACTTTGGGAGGAAACTGGAGGACCCCAGCAAAACCCACGCAGACACTGGGAGAACATGTAAGCTCCACACAGACAGTCACCTGAGGCTGGAATCTAAACCAGGTTACTGATGCTGTGAGGTAGCAGTACTAACCACAGTGCCACTGTGCTACTCTATTTGAAATGTACATAATCTGTTAATCCACATTCCCAAGGGCAGGTAGCAATGAGGAATAAATGTTGTCCCAGTCCACATCCCATGAGTGAATATAAAGAATATACCGTTCAGAAGTAGGCCATTCAACCAACCAGTCCATGCTCCAATTTAAGCAGCCTTCTATCTTTTCTTGTGTAAATCTACCATCGTAACCCATCATTTCCAACTACTTTGTGTGCTTCCTTAGTTTCCCTTCAAGTACATTTACACTATTCACTTCTGGTGATGGCAAGTTCCACATTCTCACCGCTCTTTGGGTGAAGAGTTTTCGTCTGAATTCCCTATTTGATTTCTTGTAGATTCAACAGCCAAATTGCACTTGGCAAGCTACAAAGTAAAATGTCATTGTGGCCATTTCTGTGATGTTGATTGAGGGATAGATATTGGGCAGAACACTGGGGAGATAACTCTGTACCTCTTCCTCCCAATAGTTCTGGGGAATCTCTTATGGCCACCTGTGTAGGCAGATGAAGCCCAAACATCACAAAAGATGGCACCTCCAATAGTACAATGCTGCCTCTGGAGTGTCATCATTGGTTATTTTGTTTAAAGCCTGGAGTTGGACTTGATTCTGGAACCTCATGACTCAGAGGTGAAAGTGACTCCGAATGAGCTAGGATTGACAGTATTTCTAAGGTGTAATTTCTGTTGTTTCATATTGAATAAAGCTGTCCACTCTCTGTATTTTGATAGATTTTCAGTAAACTCAGAGCATTTCAGCAGTATGTGTTTCCTGACTGAACATTGCAGGATGTTTCTATGTTCTGGAATTGTCTGCAAATTGAACGTAATGCTGATATCATGTGGTGCTGTCTGTTGGTAGGCTGTCCATGCAGTTCCAATGTGCAAAATATGTTCTAGCTTTCCTCTGCTATTGTGCCCTCCCTACCATGTGATGCACTGTATGGTTTTCTGTACAAATACTGGTGAATTAGTGATCCCCTCTCCATGGAATTTTAATGTGCTTTACCTCCTAACTGATAATATGTAAGTAGTGTTGGGGCTAATTAGTATCTCTTAATTTGGTACCTAGACATTTGACTGGTTTTGTGTTTTCTGTTCAGTAATTTCAAAGAAGATACAGGTTAAGTAGTTGCAGTGGCTGTTCAATCCATTTCACGGTAGTTTACTGCAGTAACTGGTATTGTGTTATACTGTAATAACCACTGCTGTTGTAAAGTTGACTGAGGATGAGCTGTTTTATTGAAGTCCTAATATCTGTACCAGCAACAAATATGGGTGTTCTACTATAATATTTGAGTCTTGTGTTACAATTTCACGTAAATGAATTAATCCTTGTTATATGAACCTTGCAAATATTTGGAAATGGTTCCATAAACAGCAAATGAATGAATAGTTAAATAGATTTAGTGTTCAGTGAAGTGGTGAGTGATAAGGTAGACAGCAAGTGAGCTTCCTTCATTCAATTCAGGACAAGGAGTTAGTCCTTTGCAGTCTATTCTGGTTGTCTTTATTCAAATCATAGAATCCCTACAGTGTGGAAGCAGGCCATTTGGCCCATCAAGTTCACATCGACCTTCCGAAGAGAATCCCACCCAGACCCACCCTTCCACCACCACCCCCCCCAAAAAAAAACCTTTTAACCCTGCATTCCGATAGCTAATCCATGTAGCCTGCGCATTCCTGAACATTATGGGCAATTTAGAATGCCCGATCCATCTAACCTGCACAATGTTTGGACTGTGAGAGGAAACCGGAGCACCCAGAGAAAACCCACACAGACACTGGGAGAATGTGAAAAGTCCACGCAGACAGTCACCTGAGGGTGGAATCACACCTGGCTCTCTGGAATTGTGAGGCAGCAGTGCTAACCACCAAGCCACCGTGCCTCCCCAAATAGCTACGCATTTCTAATTTCTCAACTTTTTGGATTTCTAAATCTTCCTTCAGCTCAACTCTTCTCCTCTCTGTTAGTTTAAAATCAGGCCTACAACTCCCATCATATAATCTACAAGAACATTGGTTCTAGCTAAGGTTAAGTGAAGCTCACCTCAATGGAACAGCTAACTCCATCTTTCTCTGAGTGCTGGTTTTGGTGATCCATGAACTGAAACCCTATCTTCTCTCACCATTCTTTTGGCTGAGTGTTTAATTGTCTAACCTGATTGATGATCTGACAATTGGTGCATGGCACAAGGTACAATCTAGCAATGATTACTTTTCCAGTTCTGAATTTTAGTTTGGATCCTAACTCCTCCAATATTCTCAGCGAAGCAGTATCCAGCTCCACATATATCATGAATCATACGTGGGCTGAGGCAGTGGATCCTTACACTATTCATCTTGAGAAAATGTCCTTACCCTGGTCCCTGGTCCCTGGTCAGGGCTGCTGAGAACAGTATCTATTCCCTGACTAAACAGTGCCTAGTCATTTCAGTATCACTTTTCACTTCCCCCACTTGAATAGAATCCTGAGCTATGGTCAGTTTTCTCATTTATCTGGCAGTCCTTGTCCTCATCCACATAGGTAGCAAGTGCCTGATGCCAGTGGATCCAACTCGTGTGCTGAGGCTCTTGCATTACTACGTGGTGGAACCTCGTATCTGTCTCTGACCAATGTCCAACTCCACAGTTCTAATTAACCCGAGAAGTGTGATTGCCTTCAGAAGTGAAGTGACCAGATAACTCTCCTCCTATCTAATGCCCTGCAACATTTATTGTTTGGTCTATACCTCAACAACCTGGAGCTGACATTGCCTATACTGCGACGCTTATGGCAGATATGGTTGTCTGGTTTTGCAGTGCATTCTACAAACTGCCTGATGTTGCGCTCACAGTATGCACCAACCCTGCCCGGCCTGCCTGACTCTATTATTTGGTCAGGTAACCAATTGCCAATTTTGAGAAGGAAAATAAGGCTTGGAGCAAAAAGAGACGGATACTTATCAGTTGCAGTTTTCTTTTTTTAAAAAAAAGCAGCATCTTCTTCACTCACTGTACCAAGTTCACACTTAAATTATTTGACAATTTAGCACTCAGTTCAGTAAGCACTCTGTTTCTCCACCACTCTGCTTCCCACTCTAAATTGACAGTTACTCTTTGAGAAAACAACATCAGAACTTCTATTTTTTTTCCCCCCATTTACCATCTCTGCACCTTTTAAACTCTGCCTTAAGAAGCTAGCACTTTGAACTGCAAGCATGGTTTGAAATTCCTGAAGATGAGAGCAGGTGATGTTGTATAAAATATTTATATTTGCAGATTCTCACTTTATTTGTGCAAAATTAAGTTTTATTTATGTCAAGAAAGGCCCTCCTTATAGCCTAATGGCGCTATTTCTTGGCACCCTAACTGACTATTCACGCTTGAGCCAAGGTATTGTGTTTTAAGTATCGACAGTGGTGATCGGATGGCAGCATCTCTGCCTCATTTTACCTGATTCCTACTGGAAGATTGCAAAGCAATAATCTGGAGTTGAGAAACGGAGAGACTGATTGATTGTTGTGTGAGCAGTTTCATGCCATCTGAAATCAGCATACTTAGCACAGATCTCCCAGAAGCAGGGTAGTGCAGGTCACTTTCACTTGGCTGTTACCAGATGCTGCAATGAAGGATTCAAAATATTCTGTTCCAGTCCAGCTGCAGAATCTTAACTGCAGAGTTTATCCAAAGCATGTGATGTCATTCAAGAATAAAAATATTCTGAAGCTTGTAGTAGTGCAGTTTGTGCGAACTAGCGTGCACTGTGCTTGGGTAATAATTCACCCTTAGCAAATGGTCAGTTTTTCATGGATGGACTGGTCGGGTGAGACAAATAAAGAAAATACTCTTTATGGCAATGAATGGATCGATGAACCCAAATCATTTAAACCCCATTGGCAGGTTACTGCTTAGCCTTTGTTGATGCCAAATATAATTCCTATAAAACCAAACCTGAGTAGATGCTGAAGATCTGAAAGGGGGGAAAAAAAAACCTGGGGAACCTCAGCAGGTCTAGCAGCATCTGTGGAAAGAACTATGACCTTTTCATGAACTTCCTATAACAACATCATGGTTTGATTCGGTAAAATTGTATCACACTGTGTACTTTTTTCTTTTAATATATGTGTTTTTGAGTTTTAAATTAGAAAAATTGCCAAAATTCTAGCAATTTGTTGTTAATTACGTTTGTCAGTATTTTGTAGCAGTGCACCAACGTTATGAGGAACCCTGACTGAAATTTCTGTTCCCAGATGTGCTTTGTGTTTATCCAGTCTGGCTGAGGTTATCTTTCACTAAAACCTCAACTTTCCAGTTGTTTCATTTTTCTCATCAAAATTTTCAATTGTTTTGTTTTAAATCAGCAAAAGTCCAGGGGATGAACTGGGAGCAAAGAAGAAGAAAAAGAAACCGAAGCGGAAGAAGGAGAAGGGTGGAGGAAAGCTAGACTCAGACGATCCATCTAAGGTATGGTTTAGGGGAAAACGTGTCCTGTACCATCCAGCAATCTCGATGCTGCAGGCAACTATTTATCTCCATGGAATAAAGTACAAGTTTAGCACTTCTGAAAAAGGCGTCTGGACGTTTCTTGTGATTTGATCCTTTTCTATACAAGTGAGGTTCTTTCATGCAGCTGACTACATATTAAATATATGGGATGGCAGGTTAAATCAAGCTGAGCAGATAGAAACAACTGTGTTATTCAGTCAAATGTTGAGTTTAATCACAGCAGTGATGAAGGGCCTTTGGGACCATAAAATATAAGACCACAAGTACAATATTCAGCCCATCAAGTCTGCTCTGCCATTCAGTGCAATTGTGGCTGATCTGATAATCCTCCACTCCATTTTCCTGCCTTATTCCCATAACCCTTGATTCCCTGTCTAATTTTTTTAAAAATCTGTCTTGATTTTGTTTTGAGTATGCCTAATGATGTAGCCTTGACAGGCCCTTGCTGTAACATATTCCACAGATTCACTGCCATCTGAGAGAAAAAATGCTTCCCCATCTCTTTTTTTTTCTTAAATGGACAATGCCTTACTCTGAGATTATGCCGTCTGGTTCTGGACTGTGCAGTAAGGGGAAAGAACCTCTTGGTATCTATTCTGTCAAGTCTCCTCAGATTAAGGTCTTGTTTTAAGGTCTTGTCTCATTCTTCTAAACGCCCAATAAATACAGGCCCAAACTACTCAACCTCTCCTCATAAGAAAATCTCTCCATTCCTAGAATCAACCTAAGGAACCTTCCCTGGACTGCCTTGTAAGGGGACCAAACTGTTCACAGTATTCCAGTTATGGTCTGTACAGTTTTAGCATGACTTCATTAATTTTAGAAAAATAAGAAGAGAAAATGCTAGAGAAACTCAGGTTTGGCAGAGAGAAACCAAAATTAGAGTTTAGTGGCCGTGATGTCACTTGAGAACTGAAAGGAGCTGGGCAATGATGATTTTTCTTTTTGTACCATTGTCCGAGGGGGAGGAGGAACGTGTGGAACAGATAGTGAGAGTATCCGTAACAAAAGACAAAGGGAGTTCTATTGGTGGTATAGGAGGTGTGTATATATAATGTAAAATAAGTATGAATGTTAAGTGTGAAGTGGAGGAATGCATCATCTCTGCTGAGAGCAAAGCACAAACAAGATGTAGCAGGAACTGCAGATGCTGGAGAATCTGAGATAACAAGGTGTAGAGCTGGATGAACACAGCAGGCCAAGCAGCATCAGAGGAGCAGGAAGGCTGACGTTTCGGGCCTAGACCCTTCTTCAGAAAAAATTTTTTCTGAAGAAGGGTCTAGGCCCGAAAC